AAGTATTGTAGAATCATGGTCTACTTCGTTAATAGTATTGCTCTAATAATAGACCTAATCCTAAAATTGTAGATTTGTCATGATGCAACTACCTAATCTATAAGGTATTACGTGAAGTTTACTTCATCGTCTGCGCCAACTCACTGCATCTCAACAATTACCAATACATGATGGAGAAAAAGCTTAGGCTAGAGAAAGAACAATATATTTATTATGAATAAACGATATAAGGCAACATTCCACAGGGACCACGCCTGCAAGGCCGAGTCATGCCATCCGATCAACTCGAATTCGATTCGTTGTTCCCGCTTTTTCCATCTTTGGGTTTTTCTCCGGCCTAAATGTTGAATGTTTACTTCCCGAATTGTCTTGTGTTAGGGCCCAATGTCACTACAGTATCACCACACACTTCAACCACCAGCAAACATCCATGATAGTAACACTTGCTTTCTTCCGCGTATTCTTCACCGATGTTTTAATGTGTTTATACTTTGGAGTCCCTCTAGTCTTGTCTTTTTGCCTCACTTGATCAGTGGCTTATCACAATATCCGGTCTTTGGTCTCCGGATTGATGTTACTGATTTATTTATTCGTCGTATCGATTCTGCTTTCTGGGGTCGCAATCGATATTTCATTTAACTTGAGTACAGGAACCGTAGAAATTTAAGTGAGTTGGGATCAAGATGTGACGATTATGCAGTATTCAGCAATGCTACAGCCTGAATTCTCTTTTATGCAAGGATCAAAATCCCAATCGTACCAGGAATTGGGAATGAACAGGTGTGAAGATGCATTTAAATAACGGCGAAATTATCAGAGTGTATGAATTTTGGTCTGACTGGTGGTTGTGGTAGTTGCACAGCAAAGCTTACTCGGTTGTGATCTCGAGGGGATGCACGACTGAGCCTCTTTCGCCAGGAGTGTATCCAGTAAAACTGACACATTATACATGCTGTGCTCCCTCTGTTCGACTTTAGTTTCTGTAGTATTCAGTTGCAAGAGCTTGAAATTTCTTTTCTCCCTTTAGACTGTTCACTTAGCGTGTAAGCATGCCTGAGACGAGGGTTCACAGGCTTTGGTACCAATGAATAGAGTTCCGTTAATTGCTCACTGATCGTGTGCATTGATAGAGTTCTTCCAAAAGTTATATTTAAGTTACCTTCATTATACCAATGAGTTCTGCTAAAAATGCTGATGAAGCTTATGCATCACTTCCAGCGTAATTAGCTGGACTGAGAGTTGCTTACCATATACATTATTATTCCATTTCATGGCACTATATTTTAAATCCATCACGCTACCCCAACATCAATGGATGATGCGTGATATGTGTAAGATCCAAACTAAAGTTTGGACTGAAGAATAGCTGTCTAGGTGGGTTTGTAGTGGCATTGGACCATAACCACACAATCCTCAAAGCTGAACACGAAACGACTAAGAAAATAGATATTCAAAATTTAACGCAGAGAAATACCGAACGATGGAAAATGCTGGAACAAGGAGTTGAACTGATTAAAGTTGATCGGATGGCATGGCTTGGCCTTGCAGGCGTGGTCCCTCCATTATTAGAGCAGTACTAATTCCATAGTAGACCATAATTGGTGAGCCCGACAGGTTAGATACGCGCCCTTATCCGGTCGAACCCAAAACAATGTGACTGGGCAAAATGACGGTTCTAATATTCGTCATAAATGTACATTGTTACCTAAACAAATATGACCACCCAGATATCCAACCAATAATTGTTCAATTAATCAATTCTAAATTACAATAAATGAGGAAGTTAATAAAGGATGAGAGAAAATTACCAATCACAACAAATAAATGTTATTTTATCCTGTCGGGATAGATCACGCACATATTCTTACAGGAAATAATATTTGGTTGCTTTATAACAATCCCAATTCTGGAAGAGTGCATCAATTCACAATCAAAAATGCACAATTCCAGTTAGTACAAGCAACACAATCAAAAGGAGGAACAAACCAACATGGTTGCCGATGGATTAAGCATCAAATAAAACAACATAAATGCAGTTCAGGAAGAAACATGAAAACTTACCGAAGGCGTAGGAAAAATAAGAACTGTAATAAAATACAAATATTACCAGATCAAATGGAATCAAAAAGACTAACAAAATGTACAACCAAAGGAATCAACAGGGACGAACTGCAAGTGTATATATGGAGGAATTTTCATACACAAAACATTCAAAACGGATCTTACAATATTTAAGTCTCTGGGATGATATTCTTGTCAAGTCACGTAAATATATGTCTAAAAATGGTGACACTAATGGAATCTATGATATTTCCAGACATCAATGTCAGTAATACAGCGTCGTGACCAGATAAAAACAGTCCTCTACAAGCATTAGTGGTCGAACGCAGGATAGCAGAACATTCGTAGCTTAGGTAGGCTGCGCTCAGAAAGCCCAGAACAGAATTGTTTCCTGACGCAATGTGGACGCAACCTCTGCGGCCGGAGAAATGTCGTGACGGAGGAGCAAATGACCAACACCAGTCGTCAACAAATTGAGTGTAACTTAGATTGCTTGGGTATTCTACACAGTGAGGTAATTTGGTCCGTTTGTTTCAGTTTAGAAGGGATTTTTCTACGTATCATACGTACTCCACTAAATTGCAGAAAAGTGTGTAAGACTTAGGATTAACTTTTTCATGAAACATTATTAGAACTTTCTAATAATTTTTCGATAGAAAACGCGAAGCACAATTAAGATTTAAGTGTTCAAATGGATTTTACAGATTCTCTGTTGTCAGTTAAGTGAATAAATAAAAAAAGCTTGTAGGCACAAAAAAATCTCATTGATCACCATCTAAACCATTTGATAGTCGGGTCACTAAATGTCCAGTGGTTGACTGATTCTTCTTAAGATCAAGAACAGCTAACGCACATCAATTAATCATACGCTATGATTTGGCCCATGCGGTGGTGGTCGTATTTTCTTTCTTGTACGTACTCTTACTTATATATTTCTGCAATAACGTCTTTTGTGTCATACGGTCTTCAAAGCAGCCATAGTAACTTGGTACGGCGAAAGGGTAATCCACGTTAGGTGCCGAATGTGAGGTGTAACTTCAAAGTCAAATAGTTGCTCACATCATTTTCATTTAAACCGAGCAAGCCCTCTACCATTCGACACAGACTATCTACGCTGGTGATCTAGAAGCTTTTGCTTCACTGGTTTCATTTTCAATATTAATATATCAAAAATGACTCTAGATAGAGACCTACATTTATCCGGTGAACAAAATAGAGATATTAGTAAACTATAACAAAATGGTGTTGTAGATACATCAAGTTTTCTCTTCAAGGACTCTGGAAAGGTTGCCTGAACGACGTTAGCTGACAGTAAATCCTGGAATTTGACCAACAGTAAGGGGCAAAATTTACATACACAGTCCACCTTGCTATGTCATGCGTCTGATTTCTTGGTACAATATCTGTGGTTTGCTTATGAATTGAGCTCACGTAGGTGGTTAACTGATGCACAGAAGTGTTTAGGATGCCAAACATTATTTAAAGATCGCCATCCTGTGACTTACACTTTATTGAGTAAACATCCATAATAAAGTTTAAGTTTAAAACCCCTGACTGATTTCGTAGTTCAACTTTGGATACGTTATAAATTTTGGGAGTAAAGGGAGACGCACTACACTTTCGTACTCCAAATAGGGGTTGAATTAATCTGCTAAAAATGCAGCGAACATTCCTGCTGCCAAAACTGCCAAAAATGTTCCTCAACGTAACCATCGCGAGGTTCCTTCTAGAGGCGTTCTCTCGCGGTTGACTTAAGATCTTGGACATCGGAATACGATGACTCCAAGAATTATATCAACTCCGGACATGTTTGGAAGGAAATTGTCTGAGTTGAACATGTATTTTTAATATGCGTGGAGCAATTTACACTAATATATCTTGAAAGTTATTTCATCGTTATTCTCCAAACTTAGGTATGGAGTTGGATCCTCCTAAAGTCCTGACTTAAAGTCTAAGTTTGAAACTTCTCTCCAAGATCTACTGCCTTTAGCGAAAAGTAGTAACTCAAACAAAGGGAGAAGAGTTCCTAGTACTTGGTTATGGATTGAACCTAACAGGATATTCTGTAGCCTGAGAAAATGTAAAGTATACAGTGACTTTCAAATACCTAGTATTTGAACATGACTCAAACTATTTTATTAACGGTGAGCTGATACCTAACACCCTGAGCTTAGTGAAAAGGCATGTGTTACTCACCTTACCAAAGGTTTTTGAGAAATCGAGGTGTGCTTCATCGGTCTTCCATTCGCTGCCGAGAATGGTGGCTGATCTGCAGATTGTTAATGCAGAATGTGGCACCTCTTGAAACCGCTTTGCTTCGGTGAAGAGGAGTTTAAAGATAATAAGTAGTTGAGTAAAGCATTTTTCATCACGAATTTTGTAACCTCTGAGGGTATTGGAAGATGTGCTACTGTCACCCAAATTTGAGAAATTACGTATATGCAGGTTTCAAGTTTTTTTGCTTGCACGCACATTTGGTGAACATCAGAGTATCACACACTGGTGTGACTATAATTCATGGATGACATTTGAGCCACGCTAAAGTGATCTTGAGGGTGTCTACCTACTTACTAGGGCTAAAGGAGGGTTATAAAGCAGTTTAAAGAAGAAAAACAATGATTTACAATTAATGATAAGGATAAGGATTTAGATTTATGGTTTTCATTACGAACTGACATCAACTAAAATGCCAAAACGCTATTTGGACGAATGGATGAATGAATTTCGCGCCAAAACCCGAGACTGGTTATCCTAAATATGATTGGTTCGCCCATAGATTATTGTCTCGCTGTTCCTAAGGTATAAACAAGAGAAATGCACCTTCCATCGTTCCATTAAATCGTAAAATGAAATCTCAAGTTCATGGAAAGTGTGAGTCAATTTAACTGTATAACACCGTTCAAGTTTGAAGACTTTGTATGGCGCTTGTTTAGTTCGATACAAACGTGTCGGCGACCTGACGTTTGGTTTCAACTATGGTAAACTATCGCCTATTCTAATCACTGCCTTTTAGCCTGTTAGTAAGAATGCAAAGATCAGCCAGCATGTTAATTATAGGATTAGATGTACCATGCAAGATGGCCGGCAACTAGTAGGGACGTTCAAAGCTTTCGATCGTCACATGAATATAATATTGTGCGATTGCGACGAGTTTCGCCAAGTCAAAAACAAGACAGCAAAGCAAGACAAGGATCGCCAGGAAAAACGGGCTCTAGGCCTTGTTCTTTTGCGAGGTGAACATGTTGTAAGTAACTTTTTTGCTATATAATTCTGTTGTCATGTACCGTACGAATGTTATTTAAAGTGTAATGCGCACTAAACAGGTGCGACATTAATATTAAAATAATGTTCAACTTCCAAAAAGCCATTAAAGATTGTTGAATCAACGTCCCTTTCGACGTTAGTCATATTTCAGCCAATCTGCGTCATTGAGGATTCAAAAACATTACAAGTGTAGAAATCTCCCTCTGTATAGATCGGTCATGAATGCAAACTCAAATTCCAGACTTAATTCGAAACTCGAACTCTGCTTGTTCGTTGTATGCTTGAAATTCACTACTCTGGTCAACAAGACGGTACGAACTTAGTAATTGGTCTTATGTTAATGCTATAATGTGAGAACTACATATTTTCTATGGACACTACTCTGTTTTCCAAGTATGGATCTGTAGTCATATATTTGACACGTCTTACAAGTGTTGCAAGTTTATTAAGAAACTTTCAGAGTTGATAATTTCCAATACTACTCGAACTAAAATTCACTGGATAAGCAGCTGTGCTTCATTGTCTTCTTGGATTAACCATTTAGTTGCAAAGACCCTGAGTTAATTTAGAACTTAGTTTAGTTTCCTTGCTAACCTGGCTACGTTTTAATACACCATAATATTCATGTATGTTCCGGGGAATCCCTGTTAAATTGCAAAGCTACCAACTCTCCGTTGTTAACAATGATGTCTTGTTTCTCATCTCCAGTCCAATTTGTCGTAAATCTATTTTCACTCATTTTACGTTGGATTACTCGTTCTCAAGTGTATATAAACTGTCAATTTCTTACGACGCCTGGGAAGCATAAGTTTATGTAGAGGTGTGTGTTTCGCAACAATACTATATTTCACCAGATTTAACGTAGCATCAGTCCTTAAATTCACCAACTTCTAGTCCTAGCTATGTTGGTAGATGCGGACGGCGAGAATATAATTTATGGACGAACCAATCATGTATAAGATAACAAATTCATCCATTCATTTGGATATATAGAGTTTTGGCATTATCGTCAGTCAGTCAGCCAGCATTATAGCTGATGTCAGTTAGTGATGAATACCTTAAATTTAGTTTCTAACCTTAACCATCAACTGTAAATCATAATTCGAATTCCTCACACAGGTTTATAAACCTCATTTGGTCGTAGTTATTACGTGGACACTCAAGGTCACTTAAACGTCGCTCATCGGTCGTCCATAAATTACAGTCTCACCAATGCAGACTAATTCGTTAGAGTCCGCGTGACTTTCGTAACCAATTGTTGGGGACTGGGTGACATGGCCCAGAACCGGTCACAATTTCGTAGGTGTATACACTCTCTGTGTTCCCTTAAACTATGAGATTAAAAAGGTTTTATATCTTTCTTTCTAAGCGCTAATTCTTTCTTCTTGTTCTATATCCTTATATGCAATCTTTCCTTTATATATTACCACCATTGAATTAACTAATTTGTGAATTCGGTGTTGATCTTGTTGTGGTAATGAGGTGTGGCAAATTGGACCGATGAATATATGTGCCTGGTCCTACTTTGTAGCTGACCGACTGACTGAGAGACCTGATTACTAGTATCCTCGAAGCTTTCTCACCACTAATAAAACTACCTAGTTGGTAATAACTTGATGCATTTATTACTGGATGATGCCTGTGAATGCACATCAATTGAAGCTGCTAAAAGATACCGTGAACATCTTAACGTTTGGTACTCCACTTCCAAACAGCTTAGCTCTATACCCTATTCGAATTCAGTTTGAGTAGTCGAGCAAATAGAGGTGGATATCGCCTATGTAAAAAGTAGTTTCTGTTCATCCTAATGGAGTCATGTCAATTTTGTAGAGGGAGTAGTGAAAATAAAGTCCACAGTTTTTCGTTCATTAGGAGTATTATTAAACTCTACAGACTAATAAAAGGAACTGGAATTAATAAGTCGAGTGTAAGTGAGACTATTTCGGAAAAAGACGACACATCTGCTCCCAGTCCAGACGTTTAGAACGATGGGCGGAACATTTTAGAGAACAGTTCAACTGGCTTTCAGCTACTCTACAACTACCCTCCATTCCCAGACAGTGTGAATGGAACATTGAAGTAGGTCCCCCAACTCTAGCTGAAGTTCAAAAGGCCATAGTTAATCTGAAACAAGGAAGGGCAGCTGGTCCAAATAGATTGGCTCCAGAAGTCTTTAAGGATGGTGGCCCAATTTTAGCGATTAGGTTGACTAATATTTTAGCTAAGATCTGGGAGTTAGACGTTATTCCATCTGACTGGTCACAATCACTTATCGTCCCAATATATAAGAGAGGGTTAAAATCAACCTGTGACAACCATAGAGGGATTAGTTTAACTAATATAGTATCTAAAATACTAGCCTCGATAATTATCAGACGCCTAACTAAGACTCGTGAACTGCAAACACGAGAGAACCAAGCTGACTTCAGACCTGGTCGTGGCTTCATCGGCCACATATTCACCATTCGTCAGGTTCTAGAACACAGGCATACTTATCGGCGTCCGACAATGGTGGTCTTTCTTGACTTGAAAGCAGCATTTGACTCTGTACATTGCGGTATTCTGTGGCAGTGTCTGTCATTGAAAGGCGTACCTCAGAAGTACATAAACCTTGTAAAGGCTCTTGACTCGAACACTACTAGTCGAGCCAGAGCTTATAGCGAACTGTCATCTGCTATTGCAACCTCAAGTGGTGTCAGTCAAGGCTGTCCACTTTCTCCATTTTTATTCAAATTCATCATAGACCTACTGATGGAAATAACATTCTCGTCGACTGAATTCTCGGGTATTGACCTCCTTCCAGGAGGTCCACTTATCGACTTAGAATACGCAGATGACATAGTCCTGTTTGGTGAAGACGCTGACAAAATGCAGTTTTTTGGTAGCACTAAGCAACAATGCCAGAATGTTTGGGATGCGCTTCTCTCCCTCTAAGTGCAAGTTGTTGCTTCAGGACTGGTCTGTGTCAACACCTGAACTAAGGATAGGGAGTGAAGTAGTCGAACGCATCAACAACTTCACTTATCTTGGAAGTATGATCAGCCCTAATGGGCTGGTATCGGACGAAATCTCAGCACGGATTCGAAAACCTCGCCTGGCTTTTGCCAACTTACGTCACCTTTGGCGAAGGCGATATATCCGTCTATCAATAAAAGGACGAGTATGCTGCGCGGCAGTCCGTTCTGTCTTAATTTACGGCAGCGAAACATGGCCATTAGGAGTAGAAGACACTCGTAAGCTACTAGTATTTGACCACAGATGCCTTAGAAATATTGCTGGCGTCTGGTGGGACCACCGGGTTAGTAATACTGAGGTTAAACGTAGGGTATTAGGGAATGATGGTAAATCAGTTGATGAGGTTGTGAATCTTCATCGACTGAGATGGTTGGGCCACGTGGTACGTATGCCTGAACACTGATTACCACGACAAGCAATACTGACTAGTGTTGGAGTTGATAAGAAGAAAGTTAGGGGCGGACAAACTAGCCAAAACGTGGTATCAGTTCACAAAGTCACTAACTTCAGGTCAGAGCCATGTTGGTAGATGCAGACTACTTGGTTGGGGTCTGCGTGACTTTCGTAACCGATGGTTGGAGACTCTTGGTGACATGGCTCAGAATCGATCACAGTGGCGTCGGTGCATACACTCCCTGTCTTCCCTTAAACTAAGAAATTAAAATTGCTTCATATCTTCCTTTCTACTAACTAATTCTTTCTTCCTATACTACATCCTTATATGCAGTCTTTCCTCTATATATGAATACCATTGACCTAACCACTCTTATGAATCCGGTGTTAATCTTGCTATGCTAATGCGGTATGGCAACCTAGACCGATACATATATGTGCCTGGTCCTACGTTGCAGCTGACTGATCAGGAGTATTATTAAACTCTTTTTAAGTATGAAATCTAAATATGTACTTAAAAAGGGTTGGGTTATTTGTCCTTTTCAACTGGATACTAGTGATTTATCTTGTGATAACTACCAAGTGTTCTGATCAGACTTTAACGTTCTAAGTTAGTAGCTGCTGGAAACAAATGGGTGTCAATACTTATCACTACATGTTTTGTGATTTTGAACTCTACAGGTTTCTTTGAGTGTGCAGTGTACCGCCTTAGGTGACTGTAATTAAACTGAAAAGAGGCTTAGAGGACTTAAACCCGAATATTTCAATCCTACCTGGTAGAACGATGGACGGCAGATCTGACTGTAATCTAAATCAGATGGGCTATCTTTAGAAGTCTATCATTACGTTTGCTAGCGTCACAAATTATTATCTTCAATTTTCTAATCTTTTCTAAGCTAAAAGCTTTGCTAGTTTGGATAGTTTCATTTTGGAACTTTTATTTGGATATGTAAAATAATCATGTTTATAACACGTTTCTTATAATTATCTAATCCGTTTTCTCCGATATTCATTCTTATCTGATTCAACTGAGTAATAAATTAACAAACCATGTGTTGACGGTTAAGTATTGGTTTTTCTGGTAATGATCTATTTGTAAATTATTGCTTTTCTAGTACTGATGTTTAGTTGTCACTTAATCTATTTAATTGCTACTAATGTACCATTCATAAGCTCGAATCTCCCAAAATAGGGTTGTTTTATATTATTCATAGTGCTTTTGTACTTATTGAGCTCCCCTAAATTTATCTTTAAATTGTTTGTTTAGGTTACTATGAATGTAGATGGTCCCCCACCTCCTGAAGATGCCGCCCGAGTTCCGCTCCCTACAGCAGGTGCTTGGTCAACTGGAGTTAAGCCATTGACTGGTATTGCTGTCGGGCGCGGCATGCCCCTTGCGACCCCAGCAGCAGCTATTGCCCCAGCTCCACCTGCTGGTTTAGGTGGGCCAGTTTGGGGAGTCGGAGCACCAGCACCGGGTCTAATGCAGCCACGAGCGCTTCCTGGCATGCCACCTCCACCTCCTCCCCCTGCAGGCGCACCAACTGCGGCGTTCGGTCGTGGAATGCCAACTGTCACCGCTGTGCGAGGATATCCTCCTCCTCCACCTCCACCTCCTCCTGGATATCATTGAGACGCAATCTGACTCATGGTATCTATCCCAGATAACCACTTATTATCGCGGAGAAGTTTTGTAAAAGCATTTACTTGTTTCAATATACTTTTTTAAGCACTTTGACGTTCATATTTTCTATAAAATCCTTTGCTGTGGGTCGCTTCCCTCCTTTTACTAATTGGATTTCGTGACTGACACCAATCAAAATTCGTGGATTATTTATTTAATAGGACTATAGGTTATCCAGCTCAATATTAGGGTTTTACAATTAAGCTTAGTGGACAAAAAAGATATGGGACTGTTCTCTAAGAGAAGAATGAAATGGCAGCCCTTATTTATATATTTTTTTCTGTAAAAGCTCAGTTATGTTTTTCATTGTATTTAGGCATCTATTATTGTCATTTATTCAATTGTTTAAATCATAGTTGTAATGGTTCCTTGCTAAATCGGATGCGAATATTGTAAATTTTATTCAGATTAAAAGCACAATATTTCTATTGGTAATATATTCGTAATTATAATGGAATACAAAAGTTTCTCGGTTAAGAGATTCTATGGAGATACTATTAGACAGAAATAAATAATAGTTTATACTAAATTGTGCAAGAGTTCTATTCTAAAGATGGGAAATGTTAGTTGCTTGTTTGGAATGCGTTGCAAGGTTACTTCATTCGTCCACTTTACACATCTACTTTCTCAACTCCATTTTTAATAATGAACAATATTTCTTCTCCTAGAAAAGAAATAACAAGTGCTGTATTATTGACAGGAGATTCATATTTTGCTATCAATTTTTTTATAGTTGTAATCGACTTACTTTTTAGGTAAGTAGCAAGTTGTGGGTCATTTGCTTTTAATGCCAAATTACTTGGTTGTTTCCCATAAATATCAGTAATTATTGGGCAGGCTCCAGCTGTGATTAGAATTTTACAGATGACCCTCCTTCGACTTGCCGCGGCTTTATGTAGTGCTGTTTGGTTCCTGAGAGAAAGACAAAGCGAACATTTTAAATATTTTATATGGAATTAGCATACATGCTTGATTAAAGGTTACGTCTTATTTTTACAGTAATCTGCCTCAGAGTATGATGTACCTCACAATTTTGAAAGTGAACCAGTTTCCCTAAACTGTCGTTTTAAATTGTATTTTTCAAATACTTTGTCAAACGTACAGACTTTCTGGCTGATATGTTAAACAAATTACTTAGTCGATGCTATTTCTATGCTAGTTTTACTTTGATCAGTGCTAGATATTTATTAACTAACTATATATTTTCAAGAGGCTCTCCTGTAACATTTGTGTCTATTTTTGTTCTCCCGGTTAGCGTGATTTTCTTACCCCATTATTTCAACTGTTAATTACCCCAAGTATTTTAGACTGAGCACCATGCTATTGAGACTTATCTTCGGTATTATCTGATTTTGAATAAGATATGAATGTTTTCTATTTATGAACTTCATAATCATATAACAAAGCTTGGATAGTTCGAATACAGTTCATGTACAAGAAGTGATTAGATATTTCTCCGGACATTCGTGTCTTCATGCTAGATGAATGGTTAATATGTTATTCTGGGAGTATGTATACTCCCTTGTCTATGATTATTGTTGCTAGACTTCGTTAAGGCATTCTATATTCGGCCACTATGTCCTTGCTTTGAAGCCTGCTCCGCACGTTTCCTTTCTCGGTATACTCAAATACCTGGTTAATGAGTTTATTTAAGTTAGAATATATAAATATTAAACAAGTAAGAAGGTCGATACTTACTTTTCATATTCTTGTAAGTCGATTAGTTTTTCTGGAACTGGAATGAAATTTGCAATTAGTCTGTTAATATCTAATCATCCATAAGTGTAAATCTAAGTGCATTGTAAACTTTTTAATGAAATATTACTTGGATCAGTGAATTATAAATGGGAACCAGAGATTTATTTATTGATTAGAGCTTTACATGATGGAGTCTCGTTTTTCGAGCTGGATAGCTTAGTCGTGGAGCTTTCATTTTACTTCTGAACAACATTATTATTGTTATTTGGACACATTGTTACAAGGGGCTACCAGATACATATGTTCCACACAAATCTAATTTGATTTGTGTGAGGGCTGTGATACTACTCGGGTGCCCAAACTGAAGCAGGTGGTTTTCTTAGGGGGCCTCACTCGGAGCCTTCGACCTAAAGGTCTGACCCACAAGACAGTGGAGCATCATAAGGAGATGCAGTCCCATGGTAGCTGGTGACCAACGACTGGTTCATATGTCATTTGTTCCTTCAGGATCCTGGAGCCCGTGTGCATGATTGGTTTGGAATAAGGGTTTTCGAACTCAGATGGATCGTCCCTATCCACCAACCTGGTTAAGGCACCGGATATTCGCTTTTAGTCCTCTCAATCTCGTAAACACTCCAACGAGAAGGCAGTGAGTAGGACTTTCCTGACAGTGGCTGTATACGCGTGGTCATGTGAGAGCATTGCTAGAGGGAGAGCGAACTCCCCCTCTTCAGGTAGAAGTGTTTGGTTTAGTCATCAGTCCCAAATATAGATGTATCTTAATAAATGGTGACAAATAATGGCCTTCACGTTATTGCAGAATATAAAAGTAAATTAACAATATAGGATAAAATAGTTGTCGCCTCCATCTTCGTTTGCATGAACAACTAGCTGTCAAAAGCCACAATTTGTCATCGTTCATATCAATGCAAGTGTATGATTATGAACACGTTCGACTGAAGAAATGTCGAAATATTGGATAGAGAGAACGATAAGGAAATCACGGAGTTTTTAGAAGTTTAGAACTCAGGTCAGTCGGTAAGATACGTAATTGGATATAATTGTTTGAGTGAAAGGAATTTTGATAATTATTTTAGTTTTGAAAATTGGGTTTACACGATCCACTGAAGTCAGCTAGATAACCAATGAAACCAGAAATTAGAAGATCTATGTGTACACTCGATCTTTATGACGCACAAAAGTTTAGAAACCAAGCTATTGTATTCTTACTAGGATGTCGCAAAATTGTTGTGCTTGCACAAAAAAGTAAACATTCTGAGTTCAATTCACTTGGGCCTTCCCATTGATGATTAGGACTGCAATTGATCAGTCTCTTATTGGTATGTGTGCATACTGTGCATATTGCCTTCATTCACAAGTATTATAAGCAAATATATCTTGGACGAATGCATCGCTAAAGAGTCTTAGTGTTAGGTCGAGACAATCATTCTATGTTATACGATTTCATTGACTTTCCTAATTAGCTTGAGTTAACGATGAAAGTTACATGACAACACAATCGATGCCAATTCCAGCACTTACAGTGATCAATACTTTTCAAATATTATTAACTTTATAATAAATGGAATTTAGTTTGTATCAAATGTCTAAGATGTAAGTTTTGTCTAATTTAGCATTTATCATTCAGATGTACCATCATTTCAATATTTATGTTCACATGATATTTTGAACCTAATATTTTTTACTTTAAATATAGCACGTTATCAATTGATCGACCACCAAGTACAAGTATCAGTTAACTTGTCCTCCAAGTATAAATTAAACTCTTACTAATACTGTTATTCTTATCTGAATTTGTAACGAAACAAAAAGAATATATGGAGAGAGAGAGAGATTAATTATTTGTATGAAACTCACTGTACTTTAAGAGATATTCAATAACTTTTACATGTCCAAATTTTGCTGCTAAATGTAAACATGACCTTCCATATTTATCTAATGCATGTATACTTGCACCAGTATTTAACAATAATTCAATATAATTAATTAAACCATTATGTGATGCTCTAAGAAGAGCTAAAAAATGGAATGAAAATAATTTATCAGTTTAGGGGTTGTGGAGATTGTTAAGTTTTTGATTGAAATCATGAGTCAATTGAAGCTAGACCATCATGGAAAACCTGAAAGCGTTGTTTGACGGCCGTTTCGCCCTATAGTGGGATTCCTCAGCAGTGCGCATCCACGATCCCGCACCCCGCGAGATTCGAACCAAGGACCTATCAGTCTCGCGCCAGGCGCTTAACCAACTAGACCACTGAGCCGGCTGGCATCCAATGGTGTTAATGTCTAACCTCAACGAATCCACGAAATTGCGCGACCATCTTCCATTGTACTGAGGTAGACACCTGTTTCTACCCGACACGGACTAGCTCCACTGGTCACAGCTTCTCACCAGAACTCCGAGGATTTTCTCACGAGGAGGAGTCCCATACTAGGACGAAACGGTCGTACAGTGCTTCCAGGTTTTCCATGATGGTCTAGCTTCAATTGACTCATGATTTCAATCAGAAAATAATTTATATTAAAAAAAATTTATTTACTACTAAAATACTAATAAAGATAAAAAATCAATTTCATTGAATAATACAAACACGATTTAGTTTGATTGTGGAGTTTTCATGAATCAAATTTCTAGGAAAATAATGATGTATAATGGGATAAACGAATAAATGTTTACGAATGATTACACAATACTAATGATGAGACATTAGAAATGGTTACTCGCAGTGTTAGAAATATATGAAATCCCAAAATGACAGAATAATTGTAGTTTATCATAGAGAAGTTGGGTATGTTGTATTTTATTTTTGTGCTGGAGAAGAAACAAAACCATCAAAATGTAACTCCAGAGTATGATTTTTATGAAGTTGCCAGCGAAACTATAATTTATGCACGAAGATAAAAGATCACGGATTTCGGCTCAAAATTCACCCATCCATTTGGATAAATAGAATTTTGTCATTATAGCTGATTTCAGTTCGTGATGAAAACCCTTAATCTAATTCCTAACCTTAACCATCAACTGTAAATCATAATTCGAATTCCTCACATGGGTTTATAACCCTCATTTGGTTCTAGTTATTAGGTGGACGCTCTTAAGGTCACTGTAGCGTCGCTCAAATGGTTGTCCATAAATTTTAGTATCATGAAGTTGCCTTCTCTGATTTTAGAAATAACGACAAAGTAAAAAGTCAGAGTGGAGGAAAAGAAAGTAACTGGATCAAACATTTAAACATTGGTGGCACAATTATCGACAACAATCATGGAAATTCAATGTCAACACAAGGAACTATCGGTCACTTATTGAGAAATTGTAATTGCTCACTTCTTTGTTTACATTTATGTTAATGATGAAATTTAGCAAACAAAACAATAAAAAACGACATGATTAAACTTTCTAGCTTAGTGTAAAATATAATTTCACTAGAAAAGGCTAATCAACGAAAAAGAAACATTCCTAAAAAGTTTCCTCTTTCTGAATTATGATGCATAATGTATTTAAATAAGGAATCAATGATCTTGAGTGCTGTTAGAGGTATGAGGGTGGTTATCACTTCCCGGTTGCCCACACCGTGTAAGGGTTCTTGTAGAGGTACCTGAAAAAAATTGGGTTAGAGATGGTCTTGGTGACCTGAAAGCGTGAACGCAGTGCCCAAGGAACAACTGCTTGAGGCCGGTCACACACGCTCTTTTTCGTCTTAGCTCCGTACTTGTGAGACCTTATCGCCCGAGAAGGAAATCTATGGGATTAGGCGAGGTGTGTATTTTTAGGGTCGACCTTTTCTAACTCCGCCACTTCTTATGGGAAGGCAGCATCACTGTTATGCTGATTTTCTGAAAGAAAAACCTTATTGCTGTCATACCTCTGTACAGTCAGCAGTACGACTTCGCCTTAGGACCTTGGGCTTGATGCTTTTGGTCTTACTGTTCTTCAACCTACCTGTCTGGCATGGTAGGACCTTAACAAACGATTGTTCCAGCTAGTATACATCGATTGGTTCATCACGATGGGCGAGCCCGACTACCACGTCAAAGTAGCAATAACGGTCGGGTAAATAAGGAATATTTAAGAGACTTTCTTGAACAGATAAGTAAATGAATATATAAAGCTAAACTTGTTTTTAAATACGTCCACATATTCATCACATATCAAAATATCATTTTGTCTACTATGAATCAGTTAGTTCTAAATTTAATAATGTCAGATTGAATCAGTTTGATTCAATACTAAAATGAATATACAATTTGACTAGAATAAGTTTCTCAATTTACTGTTTTACTTATCTAGCCAGTCATATCAAACCCTATAGGTTGGATAAATACTAAGTATTGTTTACACTTGAAGTTTTAAACTAATTTTTAAAGAAAGTTCTAATAAATACAGATGTCAAATTCTCATCAACTTAGTATATCGATAAAATTATGTACTGTGTAATTAGAAAGTATCGCAACTATTGTGGCATATACTACTTATGTCTTTCAGCATAAGTAGTATATGACACTAATCAGAAGCGAAACGTATAGCAGCAGAAGTCTATGAAGATCGAATTGAAAAAAATGGAAAAGGAAACAGAAAGAAATTATGAATTAGAAAAATCATACAGAATGTAAAAGGAAATTAATGGAAGATTTGTAAATGAAGCATTTAATGCAGTTTGTTGAACTGTCATGATTTATAATTATGTAATAATCTTGACACTTATTGATAGTTGACTGGTGATCAGTTTCACATTGCCTGAGCCTTAATACAAACTGTAGTCTAGTCAAGGTCTTCAATAGGTTCAGTTACGTGGCGTCACATTGAAATTTGTTTGCTGTTGAATGATTTCAACTAATCGATGAGAAAGCAATAACATACATTTAGTGCTGGTTAAAACTCATTAACAAGGTCATCTATATGGAATGCTTAATGAATTCGTATTCTGTCCAACTAGTTCAATGTTATAAATGTTGCCTGAAATACTAATTGATCTATGTTTAAATTTGTGTGAGAGGGTCATTATGAAGCGACGTTTATCCGCTTCAATTTGTAGGAGGTGGTAATGTTAGGTGAGCATTGGGCAGACAACTTGATATTTCAGTAATTAGAGCTTAACATGTCATGAGACAGGTAATATTCAGTAAACAAATTAAAGGCCCATTGTACCCTTTACATGATATTGTAAATCGTAGCTAAGATTTGATCTGTACTTTCTAAAGCAATTATATTTGTAGAATGAGAAGAAACAAGAAGTTGTTTCAAAAAAGGAGTAAAGAAGTTGAATAATATAATTTCTGAACGTATCTTGCATACACTTGGTGAGTAACATAAAATCCTTTCAAATGATTGATGAACAACTAAGGCCCCCCTGAATGCCCTGGTACGGCCGAGAGTGGGGAGAGTCCGCTCTCCCTCTCGAAATACTCTCACACGGCCACGCGTATACAGCCTCTGCCAGGGAAGTCCTACTCATTGCCTTCTCGTGGCGGGGGTGTTGTCTACGAAAATGAGAGGACGAAAAGCGAATGTCCGGCGCTTTAACCGGATTCCAAATCAATGGTGCACATGGGCTCCAGTATCCTGCGGGAACGAATGGCGTATGAACCAATCGTTGGTCACCGGCTACCATGGGACTGCATCTCCTTACGATGCTCCACTGCCTTGTGGGTTAGACCTTTAGGTCAAAGGCTCGGGGAGTGGCCCCCTAAGATAACCACCTGCTTCGGTTTGGGCACCCGGGCAGTATCACAGCCCACACACAAATTGATGAACTCTTTATGCCTACGGAAATTACCTTTCTTGCTTTGAAAAACAAACAATTGATTCAGATTATTATCATTACAATTATTGTCATTATTAATACTGTTATTATTATTACTAGTATTATTGTCATTATTGTTATTATTATCATTATTATTATTATTTTCCACATTACTCACCCTCTTTTATACTTATACAGCGGCTCGTCTTTGGCGGAAATCCGACTGTATCTATACGTTCTCGAGTCACTGTCCGGTTGAAAATTGTATGTTACCACCGAATACGAGGACTGAAGCAGATTTTCTGAAACCACGTGCACCATTCAAACTGGCTGCCTTCAACGTTCGCACATTTATGCAGGTCGGACAACAGATAGGGCTGGCTATGTCTTTGGAAAGTCTTAATATCGACGTGTGTTGTCTATCCGAGACCCGTATTCAAGACTCTGGCGAAGTACTACAAATTCGATCTCCATCTGTCGCTTCGAAAAGCTTGTTTTACGTGCGCTTATCCGGGGACCCTGTGGCATCTTCGTCTGGTCTTGCTGGCGTTGGTGTCGCACTAAGCGCTAGAGCTGAGGCAGCACTAGTCGATTGGATCCCCATTAACAGTCGGTTATGTGCTGTTAGATTAGAAAGTTCCATCAAAGTGAGAAGAAATCGGCGTGAGAAACGATGTCTTTTCGTCATCTCCGCCTATGCCCCGACAGATTGCAGCCCGGATGCAATCAAGGATGAGTTTTACCACCAGTTATCAGTTCTTCTCCAGAAAGTGCGTTCGACAGATATTGTAGTACTAGCCGGAGACTTGAATGCTCAGGTCGGGCGTCTAGGCACAGAAGAGAGTCGTTTAGGTGGCCGATGGGGACTCGTTGGTCGCAGGTCAGATAACGGGGACCGTCTACTGCAACTTTGCACAGACCACAACCTGTTTCTGGCTAGCACTAACTTTCGGCACAGTCATCGCCGATGTGCCACCTGGCGTCCTCCCTCTGCATCTCAAGCCTGGACTCAGATTGATCACATCGCGATCAGCTACCGCTGGCGTGGTTGTGTAAAAGACTGCCGCTCCTTTTGGAGTACCTATCTGGACTCTGACCATGCCTTGGTCTGCGCCAATCTTACCTTACTTTTCAGTGGACAACGAAGTGAACGCCATCAACGGATTGATGTTAGCAAGCTGGTTGCAACTTCTGTTGCAAGTAAGTATCGAACCGAGCTAGCCTCTAGGCTAGCTACCACTCCACCGAAAAGTATAGATGAGCATTGGTTGCAATTGCATGACGCCATGAAAATGGCGGGAACAGTCAGTTGTGGGTTTGCGAAACGTCCCGCTTTAAGCACTGGGTTTCTTCTGGTTCCTTACAACTCATTGAAGCCCGTCGGTCTACTCCGGGTGACCGTGAGTTTGACCATAAACGAAGGATGTTACGTAAGGAGATTGGGCAAAGCTTGCGTAAGGACCGAGAAGCCTGGTGGTCGATGCGTGCTAATGAGCTGGAAGCAGCAGCTGCATCTGGTAACTACCGGAAGCTCTTCCAGCTCATCCGAGCCACTGGCAGCAAGAAGTCTGGTGTGAGTGAAACAATCTGCGAGGATGATGGGATGCCAATCACTAACATCCATCGACGTCTTGGACGATGGGCAGAATTTTTCGAAGGGCAGTTCAACTGGCCTGCTGCTCCGGCAACATCGGTCAGACTGTCCTGCCCTCCATGGCCGGTGACGACTGATCCACCAAATGAGGAGGAAGTCCGCAAGGAACTCCAACTCTTGAAGCGTTACAAATCACCTGGCCCAGATGACTTACCTCCGGCTCTTTTTAAAGATGGTGGTGACTTTTTGACTAAGGAATTGACGACGTTGTTTACAAAGGTTTGGGAACTAGAGTGTGTACCAACGTCATGGAATGAGTCGATAGTTGTCCCTATCTTTAAAAAGGGTTCACGTCGTTCTTGTAACAACTATCGGGGGATAAGTTTACTTCCGATTGCGTCCAAGCTATTGGCTTCCGTCATTCTTCGTAGGTTGTTCAAAACCCGAGAAAGATTGACTCGCGAGGAGCAGGCTGGGTTTCGTTCTGGTCGAGGATGTATTGATCATATCTTCACCCTCCGCCAAATGTTAGAACACCGCCATACTTTTCAAAGGCCAACAATCGTAGTGTTTCTTGACATCAGGGCTGCCTTCGATTCGTTGGACAGGACTGTTCTCTGGGATTGTCTATTGAAGAAGGGTGTGCCTGAGAAGTTTATTAACATCCTGAAAGCCCTGTATAAAAACACCTCAGGCAGAGTGAGGGCATACAACCACCTCTCTCCATTGTTCCATTCGAGCAGTGGGGTTAGGCAGGGTTGCCCAATCTCACCATTCCTCTTCAACTTTGCCATCGATGACATTCTGGAAACAGCTCTGATGAATGTAAGTAATGGTGGTGTGGATCTGTTGCCTGGAGAAAGACTTCTCGACCTTGAGTATGCGGACGATATTGTCTTACTGTGCGATAATGCCCAAGGCATGCAATCCGCACTTAATCAGTTGGCAATCAGTGTCCGTAGGTATGGTATGTGCTTTGCACCTTCGAAGTGCAAAGTACTTCTACAAGACTGGCAGGATTCTAATCCTGTACTCACCCTGGACGGTGAGCAGATAGACGTAGTTGAGAAGTTCGTGTATCTGGGTAGCTGCATAAGTGCTGGTGGGGGTGTGAGTGATGAGATCAATGCACGAATAGTGAAAGCCAGAGCGGCTTATGCCAATCTGGGCCACCTTTGGCGCCTTCGTGATGTTAGTCTGGCTGTAAAAGGTCGGATCTACAACGCGTCGGTGAGAGCAGTTTTGCTCTATGCTTGTGAAACCTGGCCTCTCCGAGTTGAGGACGTTAGACGACTCTCTGTGTTCGATCATCGCTGTCTCCGAAGGATTGCTGACATTCAGTGGCAACACCATGTCAGTAATGCAGAGGTTCGGCATCGTGTGTTCGGGCACAGAGATGATAACTCAATTGGTGTCACCATCTTGAAACACCGACTTCGGTGGCTTGGACATGTTCTCCGAATGTCGTCCCAGAGAATTCCACGTCGTGCATTATTTGCCGACTCTGGGACTGGTTGGAAGAGGCGGAGAGGTGGTCAGTGCATGACATGGTGTCGTGGCATGAAAGAAAGCTGCAAAGGACTGGCTTGTGTTGGTCCTTCACGACTCCCTGGTTGGGGTCCGAGAGATGGTGCTACACAGTGGCTAGAGACGTTATCAGATATGGCTCAGAATAGAAGCCAGTGGCGATCCTGCTGTAACCTTCTTTTACTTTCTTTCTAAAAAGTGGTTGTGTCTCCTTTACCTGAAAGATTTCTTCTGATTGTACCTTTTCGTTCCGTCGTTACTACCACACTACCTTACTCCAATCTCTTCGTCATTGTTCTCTTTTTCTTTTGCGTTCCCTAGTTTTTTTTTTCTTTCTATTTCTCTTCGAATTTTCATTGTTTTGTGTGGCGCATATATATTGGCGCTCTCTTGTACCAATATTTATGTGTTCAAATAAATAAAATAAATAAAATAAAAACTAAGACCTAGTTTTTGATTATTTTCGAAAGCTTCAGAAACTTGACTTATGTATAAAAAGAAATAATTGTTAATCTTTGTTTGACCTGGTACCCTTATCATGTGTTACTTCTATCGACATAAGTAGTATATAACGGTAGTTAGGAATAGAATGTCTGACAACAGAAGGCCCAGAAGATCGAGGAGGAAAGAACAGGAACAGAAAGCAATTGGTATGGAAACGAAGGAACAGTCAAGTCAGAGACAATTGATTGAAATTTTGCAAATAAAGTATTTACTATATGATTCTCAGATTTTACTAAGAGATTCTGTAATTTTATGTTCTAATGCATTCGATTGTTTCCACTTGTGTTCTCGTCCACTAAACCGTAACTCATAGTTTCCTAACTCTATAATTTAAATAGTTTGATAGGTCTTTTTGAAACATTTATAGATCTAACTGAGCTTTGTTAATTTTGCTGTTATTTATTGTAGTTTTTCTAGGTTAAGTAGACACTTATTTCCAACAATATGGTGTAATGCTACTATCACATCCTTTCCAGGATTTTCTTTTCTAGTCCTAGACTTTGTTTAAAATCTTACTGACTTACGCCTGTTACTCACCGTGGTGGAGCATAGGCTGCCCACCAGTACTCTCCATTCAACCCTGTCCAAAGCAATCCTTTCCAGTTGTTATTCATCCTTTTCATATCAACTTCCATTTCCCGACGTACTGTGCTCTTTGGCCTTCCACTTTTCCGCTTCCCTTCAGGATTCCAAGTCAGTACTTGCCTCGTGATGCAGTTTGATGATTTCTTCAATGTATGTCCTATCCACTTCCATCATCGTTTCTCAATTCGCTCTCCAGCTGGTTGCTGGTTTGTTCTCTCTCACAGAAGGCTCTTGCTGATGGAATCCGGTCAATGGATGTCGAATATCTTGCAAAGACAACTATTTATAAATAATTGTACCTTCTTGACGGTGGTTGTTGTAGTTCTCCGAGTTTCAGATCCATACAGTAGAACTGTCTTGACGTTCGTATTGAAGATTCTCACTTTGATATTGGTTGAAAGTTGTTTTGAGTTCCGTATGTTCTTCAATTGTAGGAATGTGGCCCTTGCTTTGCCAATCCTCGCCTTTTCATCTGGATCCGATCATCCTCGTTCATCAATGATACTTTCCAGGTACATGAAAGATTCTGCATCTTCTAAAGTTTCACCATCAAGTGTGATTAGATTGATGTTCTCCGCGTTGTATTTGAGGATCTTGCTTTTACGTTTGTGTATGTTGAGGCCTACTGATGCAGAGACTGCTGCTACATGAGTTGTCTTTATCTGCATTTGTTCGTGTGTATGCGATAGGAGAGCTAGGTCATCTGAGAAGTCCAAATCGTCTAATTGATTCTGAGCTATCCATTGTTTTGTTTAAAATCATATCACACCATAATGATAAGTGTCCGCATGAATTTACAATCAAATTTATTTCCGAATTTTTTTCCGCAGGTCACCAAAACATCCGATTATATTGGCTTGTAGCTAATTTAAGTAGTATCACTTGACCTTGACATATTCTCTTATTTTTCTTTATAGATGTAACACAAAAATAGATTATATTGTTTACAATCAATGAATTGTGTTATATGAACTCATATCAATCTCTCACACATACATACATACCTACACACTCACACACATACGATTTGTTACTCAGTTAAGTATTTCCATGTAGTTGAATTCATCACATGATTTGTAGTTAACTGACACATTTGATCCTATTTTACACAAAAAAAATCAACATCCAAATATGATTGATTTAACACAGTATAATCCTGATTGTTAAAAAGCTATATATTTCTTTGATAATTTTGATTTTCATTATTACCCTGATATGAAGTCCAGACAAGTTAGCTGGACAAAACGTTGGAATTAGTTAAATTTCAATCGCTGAGAATATTTCAAATATAATTTTCACATATAATGACTTCTCTATACTCGGTGCTCAATTACTGTCAAACTATTCATTCTAATCTTGACGAATATTCGTATAAATCATATATATATATTTTATCATAATATTTATTATTTACCTTTATTGAGACAATGTTGTAATTGTTGTGATGTAATTGGACTTATCAATTTTTCAGGCTTCTGACGATGATGATGATGATGATGATAATTTTTAGATTTCAACGATAAATCATTAATTTCTATAAAGAAAAAAGAATCGGAAATAAATTAATAATAATAATAGGTATATGGTGAGGAATAAGTCACTGAAGAGTGGACTGAACCATGTTGGTAGGTGTAGACTACCTGGTTAGGGACCGCGAGATGATAGCAACCGATAGTTAGAGACCTTGAGTGACATGGCTCAAAATCGTTTGCAGTGGCGCAGGTGTATACACTCTTTGTGTTCTCCCAAATTCTAGTCTCCTGAATCCTCCTCGTCTCTTTTTTCTCTTCCCAAATTTATTTCACTGGATTATACTCTTTAAATAACATCTCCAAACCCTAATCTTCCCGATTACTGATTATACTCTTACTATCTCTACCACTACGCGTTTTGAATCGACATCTGCATCTCTGTGCTAATGTGGTATGGCAACTCGAACTGATGCACGTACGTACGAAGTTCTACGTTGTTACTGACTGACTGACTGACTGAAAAATCAATACCACTGACAGATGAATGATCTATAAAATCAGTAAATATTCTTATAATTATGTGTGCTGATTTTAAAGTAAACAAAATCCCCCCACTGAATCACCATAAGAAGATGAAGATATTTTAACAAGAAGAATGTGTTCTTGTAGGCTTTGTTATATTGTATCTATGAATCATACTCTTTCCAAACATTTTATCAGTTCAAACCTGATCTATATGTGCTTAGGAGCATTTAGTTCAGTCTCTTAGTTTATGATGATCTTAACATCTCTTTATATTTTTCTAAATTAACTTTTAACACGCTATTGGTTTTCGCTCTTCACTTATTTACTACTTATTTATATAAAACATAAACATGGGTACAAGGAGGCACCAAATGGATATGCGCCTCATAAATCATTCGATTTGTGTGGAGGCTGGGATACTGTCCGGGTGCTTAAACTGAAGCAGGTGGTTTTCTTAGGGGGCCACACCCCGGACCTATAACCTAAAGGTCTGATCCACGAGGCAGTGGAGCAACGTAAAGAGATGCAGTCGCATGGTAGCTGGTGACCAACGATTGGTTCATATGTCATTTGTTCCTTCAGGATCATGGAGTTCGTGTGCACTATTGGTTGGGAATCAGGGTTTTCCAACTTTCCTAGGTGGACTTCCTCTTCACTCTTCATCTTCCTGTCTGTATTTCTTAGGTGAAGAATTATCTTCCATATCACTACACTTTATCTTATTTTGATATATTCTTTTGTATTTTTTATCAACCTTATAATCATCAAAGTCAATTATCTATGTGTTATTAAACTCTGATTACTATTTTAATAGTTGTCGATGACAAATTAATTCTCCATTGCTTCTGCCTGGAGTTTGTGCTGATAATGTCGTTGAGAAAAGATCGATGAAAGCTCCACCACCATACCATCCAGCTCAGAGAATAAAATTATCCATTTCTGTTATGAATCATTGTATGTAAAAAAAAATAATTATTATATATAAGTATCAGAAGGGGTTTTGTGGAGATTGTAATAATTTCAATAGTTGAGATCATGAGTAAATTGAAGCTAGACCACCATGGAAAACCTGAATGTACTGGACGGCCATTTCGTCCTATCATAGTACTCCTCCTTGGCAGTGCACATCTACGATCCCACTCACGAAATTTAAACCTAAGGCCTTCAGTTTCGCTCGTGAACGCTCAATCTACTATAGATCACTGAGCCAGTCGACATCCAACAGTGTTAATGTCTAGCCTCAAACTATTTTAGTAATTTTCACCGGTAATTACAAAAAAAGTGAACATTACCTTGAATAGATGCTGTCACCTTCATATCAATATCATCATCATCATTAGTAGTAGTGGTATTATTATGAACGTTATCTTCATCGCTCGATATAATTTGTATTTCCATTGTATCATTACTAGATTCACTAGTATAATTATTATTTTCATAGTTTCTTAATGATATTTCTTTATGTTCTTTATATTGTTGAAATTCAGTTTCAATTTTTTGTCTCATTATTACATCACTATTTGAATTGATTGATTTAATTGAATCATTTGGGGAAGACCATACATCATGCTGTTGTAACAATGATAAATCGATTGGAATATTATTATTATTATTAAGGAGAATATTAGTCGAGTAGTGTTTTGTTAAAGTACTTGATGTATCTTGAATACTACTATTAGTAGTAGTGGTAGTACTGTTATTACTGTTATCACTATCATCATTAGTATTAGTAATGGTATGATTGTTTTTATAATTAAACGGATTCATTTCATATATTGTATACATAAAAGGATTATCTTGGCATAAATCAATTGGATTATTATTTATTTTATTATCTATTTGTTGTACTTGTTTGTCACTAGGGGATTTTTTATCAAAAACTTGAGTTAGATATAATGTTGAACTGATTATATCATCATTCCTTTAAAAAATAAAAAATAAAGAAAAGAAAAGAAAAAAAGTTTTGACAAACATATCAACTACTTGTATAATGATTAGAATTGATCATAGATTAGGGATTGTTTTAAGAATTTCAAATGAATTTAATAACAAGTAAATATAGTTTTAAAGTAATATTCATTTGATGCTGTTTTACTTGTATCTTCCGATTGTTATTTAGTACTGTAATTGATCAATCTCATATTATCATGTGTGCGTCCTGTGCGGACTGCCTCGGTATAGCTTGAAGTCACAAGAACTGTAAGCAATGATGGATAGTGGCTAGCAGTGGAATTCAGGACGCGTGTCACTTCGTCCTGTTTGGGACTCATTAGCTGGATGTACCTGGCATCTCAGAGTTGATGTTCACACTGGAACTTGAACCCAGTACCGTTCGGTTCAAACGCCGTCGCGTTCTCCACCTAGATACTGAGTCCTGATAGCCAGCTGCTTGTGCAATGGGGGTGAAGTTATATTCACTTGGTGTCGTTCAATGATAATGAGATAGGTAATTATTTCATTTGTAATCAATTGAGCAAGACTATAATTTATGGACGAACCAATCATGTATAAGATAATGAGTCATGAATTTTGGCGCGAAATTCATGCATACATTTGGCTAAATAGAGTTTTGGCATTATAGCTGATATCAGTTCGTGATGAAAACCCTAAATCTTATTCCTAATCTTAATTATCAACTCTAAATGAAAATTCTAACTGCTTTATAACCCTCAGAAAGTATCCACTTGCAAGGTCACTTCAGTGTCTCTCAAATGATCATCCACAAATTATGGTCTCACTAAAAATTGCTTTTTTATAGACTAGAATGATTGTGCGCTTTCAGTTAAATGTAGCATGTTTTTTTCATTCTATTTGGTACTTATCAATTGGATGTACAACAATCCTTTCTAATACCGTATAGATTGTGTTGTTATGTTCATAATTCAAGTGGTATGTATGAAAGTGAAGTATAGTCTAAACTATTGTGATTGTGAATTAGTGATATTAATAATTTTCATCTTTTTGGAGATTGTAACAGTGGTTTAGAGGTTAAGCGTTTGTGTACACGGTAAGAAATCTTATGTTTGAATCCCACATGTGGGATTATGGATAAGCACTGTTAAGAAGTTCTATACTAGGACGAAATGGCTGTCTAGTGATTACAAGTTTTCAATGTTGGTCTAGTTTAGATTGATTGATGAATTCAACTATTAAAATATGTTTACACTGTTGTGAATATGAATATAAAGGGAAACCAAATATATTTATATATCACCGAACAATGTTTAAATGGGATTAATATGAAAGTTTTAACTTGTATATGATTGCTGGTTAGTATATACTAAATACTATGACAGAATATAATAGACAATAGTAAATTTATTTTGTAAATGAAATCTTCAAACATGCAATTAGTCATCATATTATCTACTTACTCTATTCTTGAGTTTATCAACCCAATCTATATGATTGAACCGCAAAAATTAGTTTCAAGGAACAAAACAAAAAGACTATTCGGTCAGGAGTTCCTGCTGACATTTTTTACAGCACTTCAAAAAAGTCTTCAATATTTTTTATCTGATCTCAATGAAATATCGTCGGTGTTTTCTAAATGATGTAATATTGTAGATCTGAAGTGAATGAAGAAGTCAAATTTGAAAGATCAATTTATTGTTTAATACAACATTACAGAATATCTTGATAAAATCTAGAAATTATACATTAAATGCATAATTTTCATATCTCTTACATTAGTTATCTTTTACAAACTTCATTCTTATTGTTATTTCAAATGGCTATTGGTTAACATTCCTTTGGTCTTTAATTCTTTCTTTAAACAATCATCTATTACTAGGCATTTCACTTCGAATTAATGTTACATACTACTTCTATCTGTTAACATAAGTAGCAGATATCACAGATCATATGCATAGAAATTGTAATACTTGTAATAGTTTAATTTATAATTTCTTTTTCTCATAAGAAGTGGATAATTACAATGTTTTACATTAATTAATTTTAATAGTTGAGATAATGAGTCCATCGAAGCCAGACCACCATGAAAAACCTGAAAGCACTGGATGGCCTTTTCGTTTTATTGTGGGACTCCTCCTTGGCAGTATGTATCCACATCAATTGACTCATGATCTGAACTATTCAGATGACTATAATATCCACAAAACCCCTTCTCGTATTAATCAACGTACGCTCACTAGTGACTGACATCAAGAGGTATTTCCTGGAGTTCTAGTGAGAAGCAGAGACCAGTTGAGTTCAACCAGGTCTGTTGTGAGATAGTAACTCACTGAAAACAATGGCGGATGTGCCTCTCAATTTCGTGGACTGGTTGAAGTTAGACATTAACACCATTGGATGCCAGTCAGCTCAGTGTTCTAGAGGTTGAGCGTTCGCGTGCGAGACTGATAGGTCCTGAATCCGAATCTCACGTGCTGGGATCATGGGTGCGCACTGCTGAGGAGGAGTCCCACAATAGAACAAAACAGCTATCTAGTGCTTCTAGGTCCTCCATGTTGGTCTAACTCCGATTGACTCATGAACTCATCTATTAAAATTACTATATTATCCACAAAAATCTCCTTCTGAAATTAGTTTTCAATTAAGAAAAGAAGAGAATTTTCTAATCAATGGTATCATTTACTCATTTTGTCCTATTGTATTTATAGCACATTTAATGTACGTCTATGTCTATCATAATACAGAAAGGCTTTGGATCACTCTTAACTATTCAATGAAAGTGTTTTCAAGTATAAAGAAATGAATGTATAAACTAATAAATGTTACATAACAGTGCAATAGGTAATATGGTATAGTCATTTGAAAATAAGTATAAATGAACGAGGATAATTCACTTGGATCAAAGGTAACAACTAAACAAATAAAATTGACTTGATTGAACTTGACTAGATCTTTTCTAGACTCATAGATCTGGTTTGAAATAATGATTGACTAGCATTTCTGATGTGTATACGTTTCTGGTTTAAGTCAGATATTATCCATTTGATAATTAGTGTTTAAAATCAGTTCTTATGATCAGAGTTAATGAACTAGTCCAAAAATGATTGGCAATTGTAGAATAATAGTCAAAAGTGTGTTTGAACAGAATACAAATTCCTTATTCTATTTAGACTTAATTAAAAGCAAAAGCGAGGATTGGCAAAGAAAGGGCCACATTCCTACAATTGAAGAACATACGGAACTCAAAACAACTTCCAACCAATATCAAAGTGAGAATCTTCAATACGAACGTCAAGACAGTTCTACTGTATGGATCTGAAACTTGGAGAACTACAACAACCACCGTCACGAAGGTACAATTATTTATAAATAGTTGTCTTCGCAAGATATTCGACATCCATTGACCGGATTCCATCAGCAAGAGCCTTCTGTGGGAGAGAACAAACCAGCAACCAGCTGGAGAGCGAATTGAGAAACGATGATGGAAGTGGATAGGACATACATTGAAGAAATCATCAAACTGCATCACGAGGCAAGTACTGACTTGGAATCCTGAAAGGAAGCGGAAAAGTGGAAGGACAAAGAGCACAGTCGGGAAATAAATGCAGATATGAAAAAGATGAATAACAACAGGAAATAGCTGGAAAGGATTGCCCATTGCAGGGTTGAATGGAGAGTACTGGTGAGCGGCCTATGCTCCACCACGATGAGTAACAGGTGTAAGTAAGTAATTAAAATGATGTAGATAAATAACTTTTTTTCATACTATGATGTGTGTGCTACTTATATCGATATGAGTAGCATATAACGATAGTCAGGATTAGAATGTCAGGCGGCAGAAGGTTGAGAAAGAAAGAACGGGAACAGACAGTAATTGGTATGAGAATTTAGGAACAATGAAATCTGAGATGATTGAGTGATGTTTATTAAAGGAACAGTCAAGTTTAAGATAACTGATTGACATTTTACAAATGAACTATTTACTGTATGGTTCTCAGATTTTACTAAGAGATTTTGTAAGTTTGTGCTCAAATACATTCCATTGTCCTAAATTGTGTTCTCGTCCACTACAATATTAATCGGATTCTAATCAATAACTTGAAGCTTGAAACGAAATGCTGCTATTTATTAGTCTATTCAATTTCTATTACAAATTTTTTTGAACAGATATCATTCATTACAATGAGCTTGAAATGTTCAAATACAGTGATACATTCCATTTCATTTATTTGTCTTATTTAATCGATTTCTAAGCTGAACTTTTGTCTACTTTCAAAGGTATTCTGTAAATAAATTTTCATTCGTTTGTTTATCGTTTTTAAGTTTCATTCTACATAAAGAGTTGACCTTATTGGCGTGACTATCACGAACCATTGGATATTTGTTTCTTCTTTTTTTCTTTTAGTGTAGAACACTTTAGCAACGTGCATCCACAATCCCTCCACTCAGGATCGCTAAGCTGTTGGAAAAGCTCTATGGAACTTTGGATAGAAATCCTTTCTTATTATACAAAATGGTGATAGACGAAAATAGAAATTTGAAGAGGAGATATTGAGTAACCAATGAAAAATTATGTTGATATAAAGCAGTTCTTTATAAAAATGGTCACTTTCAAACAGTTGATCTATTATGTTCAGTAACTAATTTGATTATTGATTGATCTTTTTCATTGAATTCTGTAAATGATAACGTGAGAACTTACTATAATCAATATAACTATATCATATGGATTTTGATGAATTTAAAGAGATAGAAGTTGGTGGAGATTTGTAGCTCAATTAGATGATTTTGATGTAGTTTTTTCCCCAAGCTGGATGGTTTGATCGTGGAGCTTTTATCGTTCTTTTGAACGATGAAGAAGAAAGATGAATGATCCACGACCCAGCCATTCAGTTTAGAGAACAAAACTCCATCAAAAAGAGATAGAAGTTACAGGTTATATTGTCAACTTTCATCTTTTGCAACTTTATACTTTTATAAATAGTAACTATAGATATTAAACTCAATGTTACAGTTTAAGTAATTCAATTTAAAAAAAACGTTTTGAAAATTAACAATTCAATTTTTAAATGTTTAGTATTGTTCTAAGGATCACCGGGTATGTAATAGTGAGTTTAGATGTAAGGTATTAGGGGTTGATGGCAAATCAGTTGATGAGGTTGTGAATATTCATCGACTAAGATGGTTGGGTCATGTGTTACGTATGCCTGAACACTGATTACTACGACAAGCAATGCTGATTAGTGTTGGAGACGGCTGGAACAAAGTTAGAGACGATCAAACCAACTAAAACGTGGAATCAGTTCTTGAAGTCACCAACTTCTAGTTTGAACCATGTTGGTAGATGCAGATTACTTTGTTGGGGTCCGTGTGACTATCGTAACCAATAGTTGGAAACTTTGAGTGACATGGCTCAGAATCGATCACAATGGTGTAGGTGTATACACTTTCTCTCTTCCCTTAAACTATGAGAATAAAATTGCTTTATACCATTGAGATTAGATTAGATTGAAACACACATGACGTTGGTCAGCCCTCTTGTGATTAATCAATTGTGATTACATCTCAGTTCTACAGGAGATCGGTCGCGACCCGGATAGCCCAGTGGTAACGTTTCTGGTTGTGAAGCTGGGCGACACGGGATCGAATCCTTTAGGGAGCACCAGTTCCCTCAAGATTACAGGTACACCTTACTGACGAGTGCCAAGTAGCACGAAACCCGGGTCCAGGATTTGCTGTTGACTGCCTCTAACCACCATTTAATCGGAACATAGTACACGCAATATCGAGTCACCTAGACTGGTAGCCACATTGCAGCATGGTCAACAGCATTCGATCTGCACCAATAAGGACTTGACACACATGACATTATTTACCACCCAGTGATCAATCGATTGCGATCGCTTTATATCATTCTTTCTACAAACTAATGACTAACTGACTGACTGAAGCAGCTGTGTCAATATTCTATAAATGTTTCAACTGAAATCAGATCATAATGAAAATCATTCTTTAAATATAGTTACCAGTTTATATAAGAAAGAAAGATAAGCAATTTTCTTTGATTAAAATTAGAAGGTTATTCAGCCTACCTGTTGTTGATTGAGCATATTAATAACAGATTCGGTAGTTTTTTTATTTATTTATAACTGTTATATGGTTTGAATTGGGTACAATTATGAATAATAAAACATAAATTGTTCTTAATCACTAATCGACCTAATTCAAATGAGAGAAAGAAAGAACACAGTTTATGTGAATTTATATAATGTAACTTACGGACTAAAAATTTCCTCTTCAAAAGATGTATTATTTGTGGAAATGAAGTTATTTTGTGATTGAGTTTTAATAAGACATTCATCATTATCAGCATCATCAGCAGCATTATCATCGTGGTCGATGGAGTTATCATCATCATGATCCTCATTCTCATTATTGGACGCTATAAGATTACTTGCCTAAAATGATCAAAAAGAATATTTAATAAATTGTTTGTTGAAAATGTAATAATTTGTTAGTAATAAACATTGTGGTAGTCTATTATTATGATATATTATCCAATTTCACGACTTCGAAAAATGTAATCTCCAAGAGAAAATCATTTCTATTTATAGAATATCACCAATGGATTGAATATGAACCATTGATTAGCAACTAATTGAGCGCTCTCCATAAGACTTGAAGGATTTAGCCTTATTTACGCTACTTTGGAGTTTTATACTACGATGAAACAACTGTCTAGAATTTTGATGGAGTTTTGTTCTCTGAGCTGGATAGTTTGGTCGTGCAATGGAGAAGAGCTGAGCAAAGTGGAGGCAAAATGGTACACTTAATGATAACGGATGCATATTACAGGATCCGTTATCGAGGACCGAAAGATAAAACTACAAAGGGCACTCACGTCAGAAGATTTGAAAAACTTGACAACAGACATCGAAATATCATACAAACGACACAGAGAACAAAAAAGAAACTAATTGGGATCTCAAAACCACTCATAGGAGAAAACACAAACAGCTGCATGGTCGACCTGTCGAAACAAGCAGTAACAAAAAACACGACCAAGTCATCCAGCTCAGAGAAAAAAATTCCATCAAAATCATCCACCTGAGCTACAAATCTCCACCATCTCAACTGTTTAGAATCTCCTGGTTTTTACTGGTTGTCTAACGTAATTTCTTGATGTAAAATGTAAAATTCAATAATCATAACGAATCACTTATACTAATATGATGTTTTTTTTAATTGATGTCTTACAGATTTTATGCCTCACTGTATGTTTCTTCGAATTAGTTAAAACTGACTGTTTGATATTCTCACGTTTTCATAAATGGTATTCTTTTTTCAACTAATTCCTTTCAAGCAAAGATGGATAGTGGCTAAAAGTGGAATTCATGACGCGTATCACTTCGTCCTATTTGTGACTCGTTGGCTAGATGCGCCTGCATTCCTAAATAACAATGGGATGACACAAGCAATACAACACCAAGTGAATTTAAACTTCACCCCCATTGCACAAGCAGCTGGCTATCATGACTCAGTAGCTAAGTAGAAAATGCGATGGCGTTTGAAGCGAATGGTACTGTGTTCGAGTTCCAGTGAGGACATCAACTCTGAGATGCTAGTTACATGCAACTAATGAGTCCCAAATAGGACAAAGTGACACGCGCCCTTAATTCCACAGTTACCCACTATCCATCATTGCTTACAATGCTTGTGACTTCAAGCTATACCGAGGCAGTCCGCACAGGACGCACACATGATAATATGAGATTGATCAATTACAGTACTAAATAACAATCGGAAGATACAAGTAAAACAACACCAAGTGAATTTAATTCCTTTCACTTATATCGGATAAGTATATTGAAAGTTAAATTTATGATATCAAACATCAGTTTATTTAAATTGTATGTATATAAGATTTTTGGCCGGACACTATTAGCAACAACCTACTGTTGGAGAGAACAAACCAGATCCCAGCGGAAGAAGTGCTGGAAGTGGATAGGACACACATTGAGGAAAGCACCCAACTGCGTCACAAGACAAGCCCTCACATGGAATCCTCAAGGCCAAAAGAAAAGAGGAAGACCAAAGGACACATTACGTCGGGAAATGGAGATAGACATGAGACAAATGAACAAGAATTGGATGGAACTAGAAAAGAAGGCCCAAGACAGAGTGGGTTGGAGAATGCTGGTCGGCGGCCTATGCTCTATTAGGAGTAACAGGCATAAGTAAAGTAAGTATATTAGATTTTATACTATAGGCAACTTTAGGAATATTTGCTATATGAAGTTTTTATCATAAGTCTATAAACAATGTAAATCATTATTATACAGTTGATTTCATGTTATTAAACAAATATCTACTAATCTGGTTCAAAACATGAGCTCAATGCTTCTTGTCGATCATCATTGATCTTTCATCAAAATAATGAACAGTCATATCGAATCCATTATACAATCTGTTACACTGAAACTCTATCGATAATATTCAATCAACACCATTAAGATAAAGAGAAAAATGCTATCGATCATGTTTTTTATTTATTTTATACTAGCAGAATTAGTAAAGCAGTAAAGTTATTCCGGAAGAACGAATTGAACTTTTGAGTCATCTGTTTAACATAAATCTTTCATTTTCTGCTATGTGGTGGATAGAAATTAGGTGAGCGAAACAAAATACTCTGCACAATGTCATTTGTTTCATTGAAGAGAAAATCATGATCGAATATAAATAAACAACAACAACAAAAAAGAAGTGATAACTTAAATAATCAAACATAAATTTACGTCAATTGGATGTAATCTATTATTTAATTGATCCTCATCATCCGGTTCAACAACTTTGATTTCATAACTTGTTTCATATGTTAAACTTTCCTTGACTCCTGATCGATTTAATTGATTATTATCATTATCATCTTGCAGTAATGATGAATTAGATGGTAATGGAAGTAAGACATGATGATCAATTAAAGAATTAGCTATTGGATTATTATTAATATTTGTTAAAGACGATTCTAATATAGAATCAATAAGAAATAAATCTTCCATATTACAAACATCCGTTAAAAAATGTACATTTTCTTGTTCTATATCAATACGAAAAAATCGACTAGCTGCAGTGGTTGCTATATTGATTTATGGAAGAAGAAGAAGAATAAAAAAAAGAAAAGAAAAAAAGAAAAGAAATTATATTGAAAGTAGTATGTTACTTTTTATATGCCAATCTTTTTCTTTACTTTAAAACATTTCAAACATATGACAATATAATATACTTAATTATATTTCAACTATTCAAAGTATTCCTAGAATATCTGTTGGGATATTCAGAAAAATATCCCAAAAATTATCCTGTTAAGTATAATGCTCTCTTTGGAATTGGAATGGTATCATTTTCCTACTGATCAATATTTATTTCATGTGTCATTTTCCTGTTGGCCAAATATTGTACAAATGTTATTTTCTATTTTATGGTACGATGTGGTCTGTTTGATTCGTATATAAACAGAGTATGTTTGAAATATAATGATTCATATCGCAGACGTTGAGACTGGTGTTCTGGATTTAACTGGCTGGGCTAGGCGGAAAGCATGACCAATCAGGACTCTAGGCTGCTCGCACGTGTTTACGCGTCATTGATCCGATCGATAAGTCACTACCTCCTAATCGGCGGTCATAAGATATAACAATATCTTAGAAGGTATAGTGTTCAATTAATTGATCCATGTTTTGCCTAACGTTAAATGGTTTGTCTTTTTTTCATAGTAGATTGAATGAATAGAAGGAATTCATATAATTGGTAAATTGAAGATTAGAAACAGAAAAGAATATTATAATATGAACTATACCTGATTTGATTTGATATTCAGTATGTCGGTGGGAAGTACGCCGCGTTTAATGCACTTGACTATAGTCTATTTCTGCACAGTTATATTTCTTATCATTTGCTAGTGATTAAACTACATAAGCATAGTGAATGATAAGTGTTGGGATCTATTTGTGGACCAGTACTATACGTATATTTTTATCGTATAATTGCTAAATAACTGAACTATTCATATTCGTGTTCCTCTTATCATAAACTTTATTTTGACCTATGAGCTATTATTATACGATTTACCATTCTTGAATTATGACCTTATATTGAACAGAACACGAGTGGGGACAACCGAATGTATTAGACTCAAACTTACAGGATTTGCTAATAAAATCCAACAATCAAATAGTAAATGCTTAATTTGCAAAATGTCCATCAATTGTCTCAGACTTTATTGTTCTTGCATTTTCATACAAATTTCATCCTGTTTCCATTCTTTACTGTTCAATCCTTTTGTCTCTCTGCTACCAGACATTTTGTTCATGACTAACATCCTATACTACTTATGTCGATATAAGTAGCACACACCACAACTTGTTTATCAAATACTATCTCCCTGATTCACAGCCACATTTGGCTAAATCTTGTACGAACGTTGTTTCCTATTTTATGATACGATGTGGTCTGTCTGGTTGGTATATAAACCCAGTATGTTTGAACTAAACGATTTATACTACAGAGGCTGAGATTGGTGACCTGAACTTAACTGGCTGGTCTAGGCTAGGCGGGAAGCAGGACCGATAAGTACTCCAGACTGTTCGCACGAGTTTTATGCGTCATTGGTCCAATCGATAATTCACTGCTAGCTAATTGGCGGTATCATTACGTTATACATTAACAGGACATTCAGGTCACAAGTTATAACAAGAAACAATATATATTACAATCATTATTATGTTTGATTTTGTCTAACTGTGCTTATTTTTGTGTCGGATATTTTGTATACAAGAATGAAGCAGAGTATGCTCGTAATATTTCTCTATAAAGTTGACCATATTTTATCTATTTTGAAAATTAAAACAATTGTTAGCATAATTCAAATCATTATTAGTCGAACATTTTATAAATTGCAACCTCAAGGACTTCTGATTCGGGGATCTAGAACAATCCTGATTATGCTGAAACTGTTGTCGTCAACCTTGTTGAAAGTAATTCTTGAGTATCCAGTAAATATAGATAGATGATAATGGAAAGTGGGATTCTCTTATGATGATATTATTATTGATTATGGTATACGTGTATTATTTATGAAACTGTTGTTGCTGATTAGGTGATGCCTGATTAAACTGATTGCGATCATATTCTTTTGTAAATGTAAATTACAGTCACACAATTAAACAACATCACCTATTTACTCACACCTTTTTACTTTACTTAGGGCATAGGCTGCCAATAAGGAATTTTCAGGCAACTCTGACCAGAGCCTGTTTTTTCAGTTGTTGTAAGACTGCAAAGATATGCATAGATATATGAACACTTGTTTTCTTTATTTCGAACATATATACATATGATGTAAACCGGTCACCGAGTGCTACTTAACATTATTCTCAATTTTCTAGTAGTAAGAAAAGGTATTGTGCCTGAAAAATGACAACGATTATAGTTTATGCCTGCCGACATTCTTAAAACCAATAACCATTGATTTAATAGAAGGATGGTCTTTTTTGGAAGGATCTACCCATCTTTCAATCTTTTATGTTGGACAACGTTAGGAATAGCCGTTTATATTACATTCTCTACCAGCCTAAACTTATGGTTAATGGTTACCTTTACTTAGTATCCTACTTCCATTCCCGATTATGTTAACTAAAGTGTTCCATCATATGGTATAAATGCTTCAAAGATAACAATCCCAACTGTCAGTGATATTATTCTATACTATGTTTTATAACCTTGAAATGTGTATATATAATTGAAGCACAAGATTTTCAGATGATCATACATCCCAAGCATTGGCGTTTATAACCGGACTACCTGTGAACGATGTATAGACATGATGATATTCTATACTCAATCAAATACCATGTAAACTATTTATGAAACAGAATTCTTGACCGATAGATTTATAAAGTCGACAAGAAGTATAAAACAAGGGTACAATTATTGTACATAAGCATATTAATTGTCTTCGGAATCATGAAGAACAAATTATTTAACGAAACTACTCATACATCAATACGGGAAAACACTAGGTTATATTGGAATAAAAATGAGAGATACATATTTTACAAATTAACATTGTAAATAAAACATATTGATAGTAACTTGTGGTGGTCGGTATTCTTAAACTTCGTATATAGTTCATCCTGATAACCGTCACTAGATAATGCCTCAGCGGTGTATTAATTAGAAGGCGAATACGAAGTGTTGATTACGTTCATTATTGCACCACGCACAGATAACCAAAATTACAGGTACGTTAAACAAACATGAAAGAGTAGTGCTGAAAAGCTATCAGGCAAGCGAATGAGCGTGAGAGTAGGCGAGACTATAATTTATGGACGAAACAATCAGGTATAAGACAACAGGTTTCAGATTTTGGCGCGAAATTCACTCATCCATTTGGATAAATAGAGTTTTGGCATTATAGCTGATGTCAGTTCATGATCAAACCCAGAAATATAATTCCTAAGCTTAATCATCAACTGTAAATAAGAATTATAATTCCTCACACAGGTTCATAACATTCATTAGGTCCTGGTTATTAAGTGAACACTCCCAAAGTCGGTCTAGCGTCGCTCAATGGTCGTCCATAAATTAAAGTTTCACCAGTGAGTCGAATGAGCGAGTCGTTGAGTCAATGAACAGGATTAAAATGTACATATATATACCCAGGGAAATGAATGAATAATCGAATCAATTAAACTACTAATAATAATGCTAGCCGAATGAATATATGCGTAGGCAGTAAGCAATACTCAAGTGTACAAATTCATACAAATGTAACAATAATAAAGGTACAATGATATAAGTTGTTATTGTACGAATGACTACTCTATTCGTTAAATAAGTTAACAAAAAAGGCTTAGCCAAATGAAATGTGAACAAACTCAATTGTACATGAGCTCCTATAAACTGTATGGAAAGTAAACAACATCATGGAATGTAACAATATTAACAATGGTTAAGTGTTCGCGCGCAAGATCGATAGGTCATGGATTCGAATCTCGCGAGGACGGATCGTAGATGCGTACTACTGAGGAGTGCCACAATAAGACGAAACGGCCATCCAGCACTTTCAGGTTTTCATAGTGGTAGTCTAGCTTCAATTGACTCATGATCTCAACTATTGACATTACAATAATATCCACAAAATTCTTTCTAATATTAACAACAATAAAGTGTATAATACAATCAATTACTTACAATCAATAAAAACCCAAGAATCCGATAAATGAACTCGAATTTTTAGATTAGTTTCTATGGATTCAGAGTTTTCATTGTATAAATTATCTTGAGCATTGTCTTTATTTAATTGAGTAATAATTTTTCTTACAGTTGATAAGTCTGTATCATATTTTGCAGTAATAATACCGATCCATACAGCTTTAAAAAAAGAAAAGAAAAAAAGAGATAACAGATTTGAAAGAGATTTTGTATAATACGAAAAGAATACGAATAATTATTTTTTGTAACGATAAAACTATTCATTAATTTTAAGGTTGGAAACATCAATTACAAGTTTTGTATGTCTTTAGAAGTACAATCGTCAATATGTATCTTTATTCTGTTTGTTAGTTACAACGTAGGACCAGACACAGATATATACATCGGTCAAAGTTTCCATACTTTATTAACGCAACAAGATCAACACTGAATTCATAGAAGTAGTTAATTTGGTGGTGGTAGTAGTATATAAAAGAATGATTGCATATAAGGATATAGTATAGGAAGAAAGAATTAGTTCATAGAAAGAAAGATATGAATCGATTTTAATCTCATAGTTTAAGGGAAGACAGAAAGTGTATGCACCTACACCATTGTGACCGATTCTGAGCCATGTCACCCGAAGTCTCTAACCATTAGTTACGACAGTCACACGGACCCCAACAAATTAATCTGCATCTACCGACATGTCTCCGACTAGAAGTTGGTGACTTCAAGAACTGATTCCACGTTTTGGTTGGTTTGATCGTCTCTAAGTTTCTTCCAGCCGTCTCCAACACTAGTCAGCTTTGTGCGTCGTAGTAATCAGTGTTCAGGCATACGTAACACGTGTATTTTTATAAATAAGAAAGTACCTTACAGTCTGTTTCAAAGTCAAATATTGTAGGAAATCAATACTCAGACTTTATCAAAAGTAACAGTAAGTATAGAGTTGTGGAGATTGTTGAGTTTCATTGGAACCATGGTGGTTGGTACGCATTGCTGCGAAGTCACATACTAGGACGAAATGGTCGTACAATGCCTCCAGATTTTCATCAGTAATCTAATATTGGTTGGCTCATGATCTTAATAAAACTCAGCTATATCTGCAATCCGATACTGTTAGTTATTATGTGTTCACTAGTGAATAGCTTCCACGGATGATTATCGTAATTCCAGTGAGAAGTTGTGACCAGTGGAGTTCAACTGCATAAACTTTGAGTCAGTTATCCACCGAAGACAACGGAAGATGGTAGCATAGAGTCTTGAATTGATTAAGATTAAACATTACCACTGTTTGGTGCCGGCTCAGTGGTCTAAAGGTTAGGCGCTCGCGCAAAACTGTAGGTCTTAGGTTTGATTGCCGTCTACAGGATTGCGATTAGACACTTATGAGGAGTCCCATATCAAGTCGAGACGTCTGTTCACTCCGTCCAGGTTTTAAATGGTGTTCTAATTTTGAACAGTTCATAATTTCAATAAAAAGTAATGGTATTGGTAAATCTGACAAAAAGTGTATGTTAATATGATTTTTAAGCGTCAGGTCTAATTGTATTCTCCAAGTTAGATATTTAATATAGTTTCGCAAAATAAATTGTCGAGTATACACAATCAATCGTCTAGAATGTGTTTTATCGAGATCTTTACAAACAAGTGCAGTTTATATCAGCGGCTAAACACACATATAGCTGATTTCTTGAACTGATATTAACTGTTTAAGATGCACTTAGTATATTGATAATGACTTAAATCACGTTATTCAATGATAACTAATCTTTAATATCACTGGTTGAAATCATGAGTCAATTGAAGCTAGACCACCATGGAAAACCTGGAAGCATTGGACGGCCGTCTCTTCCTAGTATGGGATTCCTCAGCAGTGCGCATCCACGATCCCCCCACCCCGCGAGATTCGAATCCACAACCTATTGGTCTCGCGCCAGGCGCTTAATCAACTAGACCACTGAGCCAGCATCCAACGGTGTTAATGTCTAACTTCAACCAACCCACGAATTTGGGCCACTGTACACCATTGTCTTCAGTGAGTTCCTATCTCACAACAGACCTGGTTGAACTCCACTGGTAACGGCTTCTCACTAGAACTCCAGTAGTATCTCTCTAAGTCAGTCACTAATGAGCAGGTGATTTCAACCAGTGAAATTTCTAAAGTCTCCGCAAAACCTATTCTGATATTAATCATTATTAATTAGTGAACTATTATACTTACCAGTTTGACGTAAACTGATTACATCATCGGACATTTCATTATAATCTTTTAAAGCAATCACAAATACATTTATTCTTGTTTCATAACCACCAATTGTTTTCCATTGTAGATGGTTTCCATCTCTACAAAAATAAAAACAAACAAACAAACGGAAATGTATAATCATTTACTTGATTTATAAATTACTCAATAATAAGCAAACTATAGTTAATATTTATAACAGTAGTATAAGAAATGCAAGTGTTAAACAACTACGTTAATATTTCTACAATTGTGAAATGTTTAAACTACATTTTAAATAGAATGAATTTGATTGGTTTCTTTTTTATCTATATAAAAATAGGACGAAACGGCCGTTCAATGCTTCCAGCTTTTCAATAATGGTCTAATATCAATCGGTTCATGATCTCAATCAAAAATTTAACAATCTCCACAATTCCTAAACTGATAAAATTTAGTAATTAAGAATAAAAATGTCATTGAACTTGGTTAAATGTAAATATTCCAAAATAAACATTATTGTTTATTGGTTAATGATTCATTTATTAGTTTAACAAACAAATTCATATGGTAATCCACAAGTGTTTTTTGTTGTTTTTGTTTACAAATGATTACAAAGCATTGATCAATTGGGTTGAATGTTTATTATACTTAGTTATTATTCATTCAGTTACAAACTATGGTATTGTTTTTAAGTGTAAATGACTATTTGCAAATTCACAAAAACCCCTCTCTGATTATAATCATCATATGCTCACTAGTGACTGTCTACAAGATTTATTTCTTGAAGTTCTAGTGAGAATCAGTGACCAGTGAAATTCAACCAGGCCTGTTGTGAGATAGTAACTCATTGAAGACAATGATGAATGTGTCGCTCAATTTTTTGGATTAGTTAAAGTTAGATATTAACATCGTTGGATGCCAGTCGGCTCGGTGGTCTAAAAGTCAAGCGTTTGCGCGCAATACTTATAGGTCCTGGGTTGGAATCTCGAGGGGTGGGATGGTGGATGAGCACTGCTTAGGATGAGACGGCCGTTCAACGCTTCCAAGTTTTTCGCGGTGATCTAGCTTCAATTGACTCATAAATTCAATGATTAAATCACTACTATCTTCACATAACCCCTCTCTGATTACGGTGATATTTGTTTCGTTTATACAATATATTCTACCCATATAAAGTAACTGACTATTCAATATACAAAATTGATATCATCTATTTAGAAACAAAAATAGATAAATACAAAATAAGATTATAAGCCTTATAAACAAACAATGAAAAAGGAAAAAAACAAAACAAGAAAAAAGAAGAAAAGTGTACAACAAATTGAAGTACAAATTTACAAGATTAAAATGTAAAATACAAAAAAAAGAAAAGAAAAGAAAAGAAACCATAATCAACTATCAATTAGTGTTCATCTAAACCATTTTATAATTAGTATCAGTAATACACAAATGTACAGATTTGAAATAATGTAAACCAATTCAATTAATTAATTCAGCTATTTAGAGAAAATAACAAACGATGTAATAACAATGACAATGACAAAAAACAAACAAACATACAAATATACCAAATTGATCTTTCATATTGATTGTTTTCTAATTTATATAATAATTAAATATTAAAAAATTTAATTACAGAAAATTATAATGATTAAAGATGTTAATCATTGTAAGGAAATTGTTTGAGAAAATCAAAATACATAGTCATTTGTATAACAAGAGGGACATAGGAACCAGAACGTTCTATTATCTATCTACCCATATATATATATATATATATATATATATATATATATATATATATATATATATATATATATATATATATATATATATATAACTAAAGATTTCTCGTCTTCCGGTTTCATAATAATTTGATCAACTCAACAGTAACATACAAAGACTTGAAACTTAAAGATACTTAATGCAGATTGAGGGACAAAGTGAGAGTGAGAGAGAGAGAGAGAGAGGGAGAACATAATTACCTGTTAACTCTCATGATAGTTTTTCTTTATACAAGAAAGAAACAACCGAAAACAGATTGAAACATCTCACAGTAGAATGTCATCTTTTATGATAGATATAGATGGTAACAATAAATCTTAATTAAATGAATAATTATTTTAATTAGGTAATCATAATCATAAAACAAAACAAAACAATAATAGTGAAGTAAATATCCAATGATTGAAAGATAATGCCGAAAAAAAAGAAGAAATAATAATGATGAATCAGCTGTGACAAATCAATGATGATATGATCCATAATCTAATAATATGGTGATGTTAAGCAAAACAATTACAATGATTGCAAAATCTTTAATTATTAATAATTATTATTACATGTTATATATATAAGCACCGGTTCAATTATGTTTAAAAACACCCCCCCGCAAAAAAATGCACCAGAGTAAATCAAATTATATTCCCCCATATCATATAATCATATTCCATATTAATTAAAGTGATTATTAGAAAACCGCACGCACGTACACACGCACACACAGCGTAAAGCAAACAATGTAATTATCGTGAACAAATAAACATATTAATACATAAACACGCCCACGCAGAAACGTTTTACAGGTAGGAAAAAACAAACAAACAAACAAATAAATAAATAAACGGAAATCGTTGAGTAATTTATATCATGGCAGAAGAGTTGATCAATATTGGGAAAAAATAAACACAAGCGGTTAAAAACAATGAAGCCAATTAACGTTTAATCAAGTTATTATTATTATTATTAATACCAATTTTTGGGGGCAATTAAATATGAACAAAATTGAAAACATAAAAGAAAAGAGAACAATATGAGTTTATTGTTGTTGTCATTATTATTATTATTATTATTATTAGTATTACCAAAGAAATAGAAAACAATTTTATCGATTTTAAAGTTATTATGATCAGAAATAATTATTCATGTTGAATCAATTATATATATTGCCATGTAGGATAAACTTAGATCAAAGTATACAACCTTTATTCTATTTTAAATAATATGAGAAATGTATTAAAGTAGGGATTATGTAATATTCACTTTTTCTTTATTTGAAACAATTTTAGAGAATATTTTACAGAATAAACAGTTTTCAGTGATAAGATCATTGTGAATATGAATGTTAGGATCCAAATATTTGGAGCTGATTTATTTATTTATTTGAACACATAGATATTGGTACAAGAGGGCACCAGATACCTATGTACCACACAAATCACATTTGATTTGTATGAGCACTGTCATACTGTCCGGGTACCCAAACTGAAGCAGGTGGTTTTCTTAGGGGGCCACACCCGGAGCCTTTGATATAAAGGTCTGATCCACAATACAGTGGAGCATCGTAAAGAGATTCAATCCCATGGTAACCGGTGACCAACAACTGGTTCATATGTCATTTGTTCCTTCAGGATCCTGGAACCCATGTGCGCGATTGGTTTGGAATGAGGGTTTTCGAACTCCCTTAGATGGATCATCCCTATCCACCAACCCGATTAAAGCACCAGATATTCGCTTTTTCTCTTCTCAATTTCGTAGACAACACCCCCGCCACGAGAAGGCAATGAGTAGGACTTCCCTGGCATGCGAGAGCATTTCAAGAGGGAGAGCTGTGACTCTCCCCACTCTCGGCCGTACCAGGGCATTTGGGGGCTCCAGATGACTAGTTTCGAATAAGGCACAGTGACACATGCTGGATTTCATTATCAATTATAATCCAATAGGTTGATAAATGGAGACAAACATGAGAAGAATGAGCAACGATAGGATAGAACTAGAAAGGAAGGCCTAAGGCAGCGTGTGTTGGATAATGCTGGTCGGCGGCCTATGCTCCATTGGTAGTGACAGGCGTAAGTAAATAAGTAAGTAAGTATAATCCATCTATCTATACTATAATAACTAGTGACAAAATGATCACACTCAATCAATCTCTACAAAACGCTCAGGTAGTAATAAAAAAAAGATCAATATTCAACTGTCACTACTGACATCAAAATCATTCAAACCTTTAATAATAGGGATATAAAATTATATCTTACAGTTATGTTTCTCTTTAATGACTATCAAATGAACAACATCTATTGGTATATCATTTGTTAACTCTGTCCTCTATAGATACTGTTGGTCACTGAGCTCAGAGATTATTAATTCAAAGAAATTATTTTAATGGTTGATATCATGTGTCAATTGAAGCTAGACAACCATGGAAAACCTGGAAGCGCTGGACGGCCGTTTCATCCTACTATCGTACTCTTCAGCAGGACGAATGCACGATCCAGCTCGTGGGATTCGAAAATTTCATTAGAAAAGAATGAGTTATCTACTTTCATTGATATCTATAAATTACCTTGTTTTATTTTAACAAAATGACCTTGGTACCGATAAGTTTTTTAAAAAAACTATCCTGGTTCATGAAGCTTTCACAATTCTTAAGTAATTATAACTCTAAACGATCGATAAATCAACTACATGAATTGTATTTGTTTTTCATAGAAGAAAAATTTAAAGTCGGTCAGTTAAAAATAATAACCATTGTGAAAATGCATTATAAGAAAAGAAGTATGGTGGCTAGCAATGGAATCAAAGACACACGTTTCATCCTATTTGGGACTCGTCAGCTGGATGTACATCCAACTAAGAGTTGATGTTCAATTCGGTACTCAAACGAACTACTGAGTCCAGATAGCCACTATTTTGTGCAGTGGGGTGAAGTTTTAATTCATTTCTGTATTGGTTGTTTGAATCTTCCCATTGTTGTGTAGAACTTCAATTAATCAGCCTCTTATTGGCATATTGCCTCGGCAATTCTTTGAGTCATAAACGTCATAAACAGAATGGTACTTGGTTCGAATCCCGAAGTGAACAAGATGCAGGTACATCCAGCTGACAAGTCCCAAATTGGACGAAACGTGTGTCCTGGATTTCAATGTTAGCCAACACCAATCTCTGCTTATAACGCTTTTGACTTAAAACAATATCGAGACAGTCCGCATAGTACACACGTGTACTGATAAGAGACTGATCAATTTTCATCCTCAACATCAATGAGAAGATTCAAACAACCTATAAAAAGTTAAATGATCTGACAATGTTTTGTTTTTGTTTATTGTTAAATGTTAGG